CACCAATTCCCATAATTCCCCAACCCCCCCCCACCCCCCCCAGTAAACACACAATCCAGGTAAAAATCAGGGCTTGCTATGCACATATATTGTCAAACCCACCAATTCCCATAATTCCCCAAGTCCCCCCCACCACTCCAGTAAACACAATCCAGATAAAAAAAATCAGGGCTTGCTTTGCACATATATTAACAAGGCCACAAATTCCCATAATTCCCCAAAGTCCCCCCCTCCGCCACTAAACATACAATCCAAGTGAAAATCAGGACTTTCTATGCAAATATATTGACAAACCCACCAATTCCCATAATTCTGCAAAGTCCCCCCTCTCTACCCCATTAAATATACAATCCAGGTAAAACTGAGGATAGCTATGAAAATTTATTCAGAAGACCAGACCAAATCCCATAATCCATTATAAGCTCCCAAATAAACAGAACTAACACCCAGCTACAACAATCACAGGCAACTACAGGACCAGTGTGCTACACAAACACTTAAATAAGGACCATGCTGACTGGAAAATCAAGGCCCAATCCCCCCGCCCCAGGCACTCTTCCAAGATGGCCACCCACACACCCTTTCCATAGAAATTCTGGAACCTTTTGTAAGCCACACAAGCATGTCACAGCATCAAAGTGAGAAACACAATTCCCAAGGAAAATGAGATCCCAGAACTCCATCTTGCTGGTCAAAACTGGCAGAGATATCATGGTCTCTTCTAGAAAGAGAACAATAAAATCACAGCCATCAGACGCCTACTATGTGCCAGTCACTGCTCAGTGAGGTAGGTTCAGCTGTTGCTGCAACTTTACCAATGAAAAACAGAGGCCTAGAGAGGCCCAAGAGACAAGGGCAGCAAGCAGGAAGATGCTTTTGATTATGATACCATGCTGTTGTCCTGGATGATGTGGGAAGACAGAGGAAAAATCTCCTGATGTTCCACCATGACATGTATTGTCAGGACTCCAGGGCCTGTGACCCAAGGGGAAATCCTGCAGGGTATCACGGGATTCCAAACCCAGGTGGTAGGGTGGAGTCTTCTTCCCTCAGAGATCGGAGTTAAGCATGCACCTGGCTCCCCTCCTCACAGCTCTGGCCTTTGTCACTGGGTACCCTCTAGGCCCTCAGTTGTGTCTGAGACTTGCCTCCCTGCTTTATGATTTATCTCATCTATTTAATATTATTTTGTTTACCTCTACTCTTTGACTCAGTATTAAACAACTTTTATAGGGCCACTTAAAACTCTAAATTCTAGAATCTTCACAAAGAAAAATACAAAGAGTTTTGTCTAAATCTCTGATTGCATGAAGGCATTTTTTAAAATTAAGCTGAATTTTAAATCTTTATTTAAATGCAAAGCAACATGTTGTTCTAAAGGTAATAATTTGTGTCATACTTCCTTAAGGTGTGTAAGCCAAATATTATAAATGACTATTCATTATTGACCTTGTGGAAATCAAAACATGATAATAAACCATTAGGTCCCTTCATAATATGAGGAGGGTCTAGAATTTTTTTTCTGCCTCCATATTTACTTAAATTTGGGCAAATTATATTAAAATAAATGGCCTTATAGCCATTCTATGTCAACGACTTTCTCCTATTACATAGGGTTTTTTTTTTTTGATGATTTTTGTTTATCTTTTCCTTCAACAAATGCATGGAGAATATGAAATCTATCAAGCCCACCAGAGTTCCGCTTTCATAAGGACACACCCATTTAGCAAACAAATAACCAGAAGAATTCAGGTAGTAGCCAGGCCTGATGGCACATTGCTGTCATCCCAGGAAGTTATACTTTCAATGAGGGCCACATTAAAAAGATACTGCAATAAGCACTTACTTAATTTGAGTGCCAACCAGGTTTTATTTTAGAATAGAATTTTATTTGTCTAAAGTAATTATCTAGGATTTTAACATTCATATGCTATACAGCTAGAGTTTTCTAGATTTGCCTATTTTATTACTGTACTATTTAGGAATGTGTTCGGCTGCAAATAAGAGTACTGGCTAACAGTGGCACAAACTAACACAAGTTTGTATCTCACTGACCAAGAATTCTGGAGGCAGGTGGCTCCTGGTATTATTTCAGCAGCTTTTCCAAAACAGAGCTGAAGCCTCCACAATCCTCTTGGCTTCACTCTTGTGATTGCAAGATGGTATCACATCATAGCCAAGGGCTGAAGAAGGAGGAAACAGACAATATGGCCAAATCTCCCTTTTGTCAGCCTTTCAAAGATACCCTTCCATAGACACTTAGAGAGCTAGATGAATAGCCAGACAGCTAGCCAGACAGACAGATACAAGAGAAACTGCCTTTGCAATAACATCATCACACACACACACACATACACACACACACACACACTCACACACACATACACCACATATGGAGGCATTTAGATTTAAGTATCCATTTGCCCACACCTTGACAGAACATCTGGAAACCATATCTAATACCTATGGGTTAGGGATTAGAGAAGATAACAAGTAAAACAAAATTTAAATCATAAGAGACTAATTTGCACAATTCTATATCAATAATTTAAAAACCAAAAGAAATATAAAAATGCCCAGAAAAATACTGTTTACTAAAAGGGATCCCAACAGAGGAAAAAAAAAAAAATCTAAGTAGATCAGTTGCC